CATCTCTTTTCTCCACATCCCTGCCATCACATCTCTTTTCTCCACATCCCTGCCATCACATCTCTTTTCTCCCCAGCCCTGCCCAGCCTCCAGAGCTGTGTCTCTGGCCGGGGCTCTGATCGATGGTGTGACAGCTCTGGCTGGGATGGAGCCATCAGCAGTGCTTGGGAATTTCTGCTTTAGAACAAAACCCCTCTGTCACCTCCGGGAACTCGAGCCTGGCCAAGGAGGTTCAGTGAAAGATTTCTGTCCCTGGTTGGAGTCCTTCAAAGCGTTAACATCTTTCTSTGCTAATCCTGACTCCCTGCAGCAGACCCTGGATGATGGATGCATCCTGCTGCCCGAGGAATTCCCCATTTCCTGCACAGCAGGAACTTCACATTTGGAGGCACAAAGCTGGGAGAGGCCAGTCACATAAGAGCTGCCCTGGAGCCTGCTCMTTTTGTGGTGATGGCTTTGGAATAGCTGCTTGGAAAGCAGAACAGAGCAATTTGGGGTCATGTTGCAGCGTTTYTGTGAGCTGAAGGAGCTGCCTGCTCAGGGTTTGGCTGGCAGCGATGGCACAGATTAAATCCACAGTCCTGCCCCTGCAGTGCCAGGTGCAGGGATGGGCACAGGAGCCCTGCAGGGTTTGGCAGTGGCAAATGCTGCTCCCTTTTGTTATCTTCATGGATGAGCAGGAGGCATCTCCAGTGGAGCCCTGTGAGTGCTGCTCCTGCCCGAGAGCTGCCAGGTTGGATTGCCAGCGTGGGCTGGGCAGCCTGGGCTRTCATTTGGGGTGCTTGGCCTAAGGCAGAGTTTCAAATCTGCACGTCTGTTGTGGATGACTGTGCGCTTTTAATCGTTACCTGGTGGCAGCTGTAGTAAAGCTGTCCTCAGATTATCACGGAATCCCAAAATGGTTTGGGTTGAAGGGACCTTAGAGCTCCTCTCGTTCCACCCCCTGTCCTGGGCAGGGACATCTTCCACTGTCCCCATTGCTCCAAGCCCTGTCCCTCCTGGCCTTGGGCACTGCCAGGGACGGGGCAGCCACAGCTGTGCCAGGGCCTCACCACCCTCTCAGGGAACAATTGCTTCTGGAAGGGGCTGTAAGGTCTCCCCAGAGCCATCTTTTCTGCAGGCTGAGCACCCCAGCTCTGCAGAGCACATGGGCTGTGTTGGAGCCCAGGGCTGGGGCAGCTCTGCAGTGGGGTCTCACCTGAGTGGGGCAGAGGGGCACAATGTCCCCTGCCCACGCTGGGGATCAGCCCATGACCGGGGGGTTTCTGGACTGCCAGTGGGCACTGCTGTGTCATGTTGAGCTTCTCATCCACCAGCACCCCCGAGTCCTTCTCCTCAGGGCTGCCCTCARCTCATTKTTCTKCATTTGTGCTTGGGATTGCCCTGTTTTCATGAAATTGTCTTCAATTGTTTTTCACTCTTTTTATCTGCTCATAATCTGGCAACAGTGCAAAGACCTTTGCATGAGAGTTCTCATCSCAGGGACTGGCCTCATCCTGCTGAGAGCAGAGCATCCCCTGGCACAGAAGCTCATCCCCCCTGGCACAGAGAGCTGCTGACATGTGGTGTTGGTGCTGTGCCAGCTGCTGATCCAGGCCATGGGCAGGGGCACCCACACAACCCCTGAGGCTCGCAGCTCTCCCAGCCTCCTTGCCCTGCCTGCCCTTATACACCAGCTCTGCATTAGTAATGGCCTATTTCTGGATGGCTCTCCTGAGTAATGGAATGAATTGTGAGATTTTGGGTGGGGACAGTGGCTCTGCCCTCTGAGTCACCATTTGGCATCGGGCCGGGCTCAGGAGCTGCTGGGGCTGGAGCCGCCAGGTCAGGGAGGACGTGGGAAGGAGCTCTGGGGGCGGTGACTGCTCAGWTTGGGGCACCCTCCATCCCCCCGGGCACTGTGCAGGCAGGGCAGCATTCAGGCAGGAGCAGTGCTGCTCTGGTTTTGGTTTCAGTCCAATGTCTGCAGTCTGGCACGGGCAGATCTCGTGTCTGTCTGTCTGTGCCTGTGTCCTTGAGCTGTGCTGCTCCGTACATCTGCTGCAGATGGTGATGTCTGCGTGGTGCTGTGGGTCAGAGAGTGGCACTGCCCAAAGTGCCTCCCCTGGGATGTGCTGAGAACTGGAGGGTGTTGGGCACTGGGGGAGGCTCTGTCCTGGCTGCTCACAGTGGGATGTGCCCAGTGCCGTGTCTGCTCCCTCCCAGGCAGTCATGCACTGGAATTTGGGGGGCAGAGGTGTGAACCTCTGTGCTGCTCTGTCCTGTTCAGCTGCTCTGTCCCCACAGCGATGGCAGCCATCAGGAAGAAGCTGGTGATTGTGGGGGACGGTGCCTGTGGAAAGACRTGCCTGCTGATTGTGTTCAGCAAAGACCAGTTCCCTGAGGTCTACGTGCCCACCGTGTTTGAGAACTACATTGCWGACATCGAGGTGGATGGCAAGCAGGTAAGGGCTCTTGCCATTGCCACCCCTTGGTCCCGTGCTGGCAGTGCCACCMGCCAGTGCTGTTGCTGGGCTTGCTCTGAGTGCTGGGGTGCACTTGCAGCGCTCAGGGGAGCCCCAYGGCTCCAGCATTTCTGTGGCACCCTGAAACTGCCCCAGTTTGAGTTGAGGAAGAGCACAACTGTACCTGAGGAGGAGAAATGGTCACTGCAGAGCCACTGAGCCCTGTCCCTGTCCCTGTCAGGTGGAGCTGGCCCTGTGGGACACGGCAGGACAGGAGGACTATGACAGACTGCGGCCACTCTCGTACCCGGACACAGACGTGATCCTCATGTGCTTTTCCATCGACAGCCCCGACAGCCTCGGTAGGGACTGGCACTGGGGGGACACCTGGGGCTGCCACAGAAYTGGGTGCTGCTGCTGCTGAACCCCGGGCTCTGGGCAGCCCCATGGTGCCCCTAAGGGGTGGCAGAGCCTTCCCTTCATCCCCTGAATTCGTGTGCCCTTCAGGGAAATGCTGGGAACTGTGGGGGGGTGGGAACAGAGGGTGCTGTGGGGTGAGCTCTCCCTGTGCCAATGGGGAAAGCTTGGGGTTTCTGTCAGGAGGCTGTGGGGTAGCAGCTCCTCCCCTCACAGGGTTCTGTGTGTGTGTGTTACAGAGAACATCCCCGAGAAGTGGACGCCAGAAGTGAAGCACTTCTGCCCCAATGTGCCCATCATCCTGGTGGGGAACAAGAAGGACCTGCGGAACGACGAGCACACACGGCGGGAGCTGGCCAAGATGAAGCAGGTGGGGACAGCCATGGGTCCCCCAAGTCACCTCTGCCCGTTCCAGATCCTGGCTGGATGGGCTGATGCCCCAGGGCAGCTGCTGTTGTGCCCTGGCAATGTTTCCAAACCCTGTGTTTACTGCTTCCTAGGAGCCAGTGAAGCCGGAGGAGGGGAGGGACATGGCCAACAGGATCAATGCCTTTGGCTACCTGGAATGCTCGGCCAAGACGAAGGAGGGAGTGCGGGAGGTGTTTGAGATGGCCACGCGTGCTGGCCTGCAGGTCAGGAAGAACAAGAAACGCAGAGGATGCCCGCTGCTGTGAGTGCCCGGCTGGCACTGCCCAGGCTGGAGCACTGCTGGAGTGCTGCAGGAACACTGCAGGAACACTGCTGGAGCACTGCTGGAGCGCTGCTGGAACACTGCTGGAGTGCTTCTGGAGTGCTGCAGGAACACTGCTGGACAGCCCACACACGGCTCCTGGTGCCTCCTCCACCCTGAGCCCTTTGCACCAGAGCTGGGCCCCACGCTCGTGGGGTGTCCCTGTGACATTCTGGGGCCACGAGGGGCCGGTGCCTCCAGTGCCCGCTGCTCTGCACGGGCGGTGTTTGTGTCCTCCCCGTTTTGTACTGAGCTCCCCGGTTTTGTCTCTGCTGTGGGGATTGCGCGGTGTTGGCTCTGTTCCCCGGCTCCAGGCACAGCAGTGGGTGCTGGTGCCAGCTCAGGTGTGGGGTGTGCYGTGCCCTCGATGGCTCTGCCCGCTCCCCGTGGCCGTGCAGGCAGCACACAGCAGCGTTACAGACTGGCACGGGCAGCTTTAGCCCTGACTGTGAGCAGAGCTGGGCTCAGCTGCTCAGGGGCTCTGCTGTCCTGGGACATGAGTCCAGCTGTGCCCAGCTGTGCCGGTATCGCCGCCCTCCAGTCTGCTCGGTCATGGACTGGGCAGCAGTGAGCCCAACTGCGTGATTGGGAGAATAAATGCAAACTGGTATTTTGGTAATTGTAACCTTGTTTGCAYGGCATCCTTGTGGCTCTGCTTTGTGCCCCTCGCTGCTCCAGGCTCCTGCAGGGTGGGGATGTGCCTGTCCCCAGCCCCTCTGGCCTCAGCTGCTGCTGGAGGATCCG